TCTGCTGTGAATTCTGACGATACAATACTGTATTGTACACTTAGTTTAAGAGAGTGGATCCCATATTAAGTGTTCTTACCACATTAAAAACAAAACAATAGCAGCAACAATAAAACATACCTGGGATATGATTGGGGTTAGATGAAATCATTCATGTGTACACAAATACATGAAGAATCTGACATGTACTAAATATTAAATAACCACTTATATTATTTTCTTACTCTACCTGTGGGAAGCTAGATTGCTTGGATTACCTGATCCATAACCCAGGGACCACCATCCATTGGGTGGCATCATAGTCAAGTTCCATTTGCTGTATCATAGACCCAGATGGCTGTGAGTAAATCTTTTACCTGAGCGTGGTACTGAATGATTTTTGTCCAGGGCTTATGCTATGTATCCATAGCAGAACCCTTTCCATGTCCAGTTTCTCCAAAAGGACTGAAGTGGGCCATTTCCAGTTGTAGAATGTGACAGAATGCTATGTTGCCTTGCCCGACCTATTTCAGGCCAGAGTACTGTTTATTTCTAGGGCCTAATCAGGCAAGAGCTGTGATCTGCTTCTTCCTTGGGCAGGTGCTGTGTTCAAAAAGAGCTTGAAAATTCTGCTCTGCTAGAATCTGCATTAGAGCTCTGGCTATTTTAGTACTTCATATATATAGTAGGAGGGAAATTATTCATATTTTTCACTTGAAAAATGAGTCATAGAGTTGAGGAAGAATGTCAGTATTATGAATGTCAACAGAATTGTCTTAGTTTTTAGCAGGCAAAAATTCATGAAACTGTTGACCAGCATTGTCCTTATAAACTGTGGTTTAGATTAAATTGTTGTAAATAATTTCTATATATTAAAAGGCTTTTCATTTTGAGGCTGTTTAGCTATTTCCTCCATGCTGATGGGACTGTGATCTCTCATGTTCCTGATAATTATTGGGATTAATAGAGAAGAAAGCCAAAATTGGTCATTTTTCTTAGAAGCTCCTGGAAATTTTCCTTATTAAATATTGGCTGGGTTGCTGAAGGAAATCATGGAGTTTCTGGATGGATTTTAAATTAAAGTGGTTCTCTTTAGCCTGGATGGCTTGGCCATATCCTGCCTATAGACAGAGATTTGGATGAAATGATTCTTGGTGCTTTCTATTCTGTGACCACTGAGCCCAGAAAGGTTCAACATGGAGTGTCCCTGGACCAACAGATAGATCATGAAAAGTCACCATGGCAACTAGTTTCCAAAGGGAGGCTTACAGCAGAATCAGAGGTAGGGAGCACTTGTGGAAGTAGTCAAAGGCTTAAGGAAGTTACAGGACTAATTGAACTGATTCTTTTTTAAAAATATTTATTTTTGAGAGAGAGACAGAGCACGAGCAGGGGAGGGGCAGAGAGAGTTGGATACTCAGAACCTGAAGCAGGCTCCAGGCTCTGTGCTAACAGCTCAGACATGGGGCTTGAACCCACAAATGGTGAGACCATGACCTGAGCCAAAGTAGGAAGCTTAACCTACTGAGCCACCCAGGTGCCCCTGAACTGATTCTTTAATAGCATAACTAATGGGATTGGCAAGCCCTATCTTTAGTGATAGATTGCCCCCTAGTTGGAAAGGCTCATATAGACTGATTTCTGAATTTATTCAATGAATATTTTTGAACAATGGTCTGTGAACCAGCATGTGCTAGGCAAGAGACTATAAAGATAAGCAAAGCATTATGGATTTTATGGATCTCAAAGTCTGATTGGGGAGACTGATATTAACTAACTACACAAATGGGTAATTACTGATTGTGGCCTGTACAAGACAGAAACCTAGTTAGGATAAAGAGATCATGGTCAGAATTTGGAACTGTATGGGCTTACCTGAGGAAGGTGCTAAGATCTATAGGATGAGGAAACTAGTTAAGCAGGCAAAATCAAAACTTTCTAAGGAGAAGCATGGGCAAAGGCACTGAGGTGGCTAAATGAGGGAGGGAATAGCTTAAAATGAGGCTAATGAGGAGTGCCAGGGCAACGTAGTTTATGTTATGCATTTTAGTCCTTAGCCAAAATGCACATTGAAGAGTTTAAGAAACTGGTGGTGGGGAGAAGAATAAATTGAATAATTCTGAATGCAGTGAGGAGAAATCATTGAGGGTACATAAGGGCAAATATTCTATAATTGAGACAAGGGAGGATGAGAGCTTGAGCAGAGATGAAAAGTAGTGGACTTGAGATCTCCTTAGGAAATATAATTGATAGTTGGTGCTTGACTGGGAAAGGGTAGATGGGGTGAGGGAGATAGAAACTCCAGATTTGAATATATTGTGGATATCCAGATAGAGCTAGAGGGGACATAGTTGGGTTTTTAGATCAGATCAGAGGAAAAGTCTGGGAGGTTCTCCTGGTCCCTCCAAACTAATTGAGGAAGGAGCCTACAAGCAAGAAGAGGTAGAAAGACAACATCTCAACTTATCTTGACCATAGATTCCAGGAGAAGCTCCTCTAAGGCATACTGGGTGGTAGCCTCAGGCTTTGGATTATATTAAGCTCAATGAAGGAAGGGACCATATCCATATTGTTCCTTGCTGTGGGCCAGGACTTAGCAGAATGCCCAGTATACATGTACTCCCAAATATTATAGAATAAAAATGAGATTTTTTTTTTCCAAGAGCACAGAGCATGTGAGAAATGATGGAAAGATGAGAAGTCTAGAGTGTCATACCTCAGATTTCTAGTGCAGTGACCTACCTATGTCCCTCCCTTCCTTCCAAGTCTTATGCTTTTGAGACTAAACTTATATTCCAAACATCGCCACTTTCTCATTTAGTTTAAAAAGCGTTAAAAGTTTCTTGGGTGAATATATTTGGTTTTATTTTGAGATGATACCATATTGGGAGCATTCATTTAAGTAGAGCATATTTTGGCTGAACAAAACAGGGATTTACCAGTTGTAGTTATTTGGAGAAATGAGCAAAGAACCCAGGTCTAGGCAAAACAAAACAAAACAAAACAAAAGAAATAACACCATTAGGCAGTCCCAACAATACAATTAGAATGGTTGGAATTTCAGCAAAGCAGGTTCCTGCAGATTTTAAAAGTCCTGGCAGCCTTGGAGTTCTGGAAGATCAGGAAGCAGCAGACCAGACATTTTAAAGGAATGAAATGAAGCCAGGATCTGGGAATTCAAGGTGAGAAGGAAGAGCCCCAGCAAACAATGTTGGTGAACTTCAACTGCAAAGACAAGCTACGTAAGCATACCCTAGCCCATAGGTAGTTAATTGCAACAAGAAGAATCAGAGATCTAAGATGAACTGTCTCTGGGGCTAGGGCCAAGATGGAGATGTCTTCATAGGTAGGTAGTGATAATAATGTAGATAACTTTGCCTGAGAGTTCTGATTCTTGATGTGATTTTCTTCGTTTTCATGCAAAAAGGATGAGTGTATTTTCCCTCACAATAATGACCTATGTGTCCAACTGGACTGACACCATCGGACATGTGGTTTTTCAAAATTATTAATATGCTGTAAATGTGAAAGGAGGAAATTACCTCATAAACAGATGTTTCTAGAAAGGTGAATAAAAATGAATAGAATTACTGATATTTTCAAATAGGTATGGTTCCGTGCAGCACATATTAAATATTTTCATCACAATAAATACTTCTGTGTGCATGTGCACCAAGTAATTTTCCTTGCTCTTTCACCCTATATCATTTAGCAACAAATACCGAATTTTGACACTTCAAGATTGTTCATGTGAATATTCAACCTACTTCTGTGAGTGATATTGGGTATTGGCATCTAGGGAAGCAGCCGCTTAGAGAACTTGTTTTTGGAGGGCTATGGGGTCAGGGTCAGTCCAATTTAGGACCATGAATATGAGTCAGGATCAGACTTGCTGTCACGGTAACTGTAGGCTAAAGAGAGTCTTAATTTAGCTCTCTATCTTCATGGGGCTTCAGAAACAGGTCCAGTACAGGATTTCCAACCATCTTGGGTATAAGTCGTTTCAGATATTGTGGGTCTTGTTATACTTACAGTCACCATAATAAACACAAATACTCCACATTTTTGGAATGACTGGCTGTCTTGTTGTTACCAGCTTTCCACAGATAGCTCTTCGCAGACCGTGCATGCATCAGTGTTCACAGTGGCCTTGAATAGGTTGTTCAGCCTCCCCAGCTCCCTTTAGAATAGGCAAACTTGTCCTGGAATCTCCCTCTCTCCACTTTCATACTCGTTTCTTTTCTTTTAGTACTCTTGTCCTGCTCGTTTCCTCCCCGCCTACTTGCAGTCCTACTCAGTGTTTCTCTGCTCCCTTTTGCTTATACCAGTCACATGATTCTTCTTCACCCTTCCTTCTCCTGACCTGCCAAAGCTTACAAAAGTGAATTCCACTCCTTCAGGGTCTTCTCCTCATCAAAATAACACATCCAAACCACTCATGAAAGTATTCTACTTATCACTTAAAAATTTTTTTGTTCATTTTTTTAAGTTTATTTATTTATTTATTTTGAGGGGGTTACTGAGAGAGAGAGAGAGAGAGAATCCCAAGCAGGCCGCATTGTCAGCACAGAGCCTGATGTGGGGCTTGAACTCACGAACCATGAAATCATGACCTGGCTGAAGTCAAGAGTTGAACACTTAAGCAACTGAGCCACCCAGGTGCCCCAGTACTCTACTTATCTCTTAACATTTTGATAAGGGACACATATTTAACATTCTGGAGTTCAAGGAGTGGTGGCTAGAGGCATGGGGCAGGCAGTGATACATATCATTTTGAATGGGAAAGCCTTTCAATTTCCCTTACATACTATTAAGCAGGCAAAACCTCAATATTGGGCAGGTGCCATCCAAGCCCTTCTATGTGATCCATCATCACTGCCCTTTTTTCCAAAGAGGGCTTGAAAAGGGACTGTGGGACATCCCCAGCGGTGGTGGGACCCCCGCATTTATCAAAAGAAGCATGATCTAAATGATTCCAGGTTGGATTAGATAAGGAATGAGACCAAAAAGGAGATGTGTCCTTGAAAGCAGCCAATCTCATAGCCTGGGGACAGGCATTTATTGTCAGCTGAGTCACACTGCTTTGGGATTAGCCAGCTCTGCTTTCTGTTTCAACAATAAAAAGTCTTGCAAAACTGCTGGCATGTGAGACAGAGGTATCCAGAAGGTCTTGGCATCTCTTCCGGCAGCATAATGAGTCTTGGGGAAGAGACTTGTGAGAGCATGGTCCATGCACTCCACCACCAGGGAGAGGTCCATGTTCACAAAGGAATTAGTGCCTTTCAGTTTGTCTAGACCTGCAAAAAAGAGACAAATCACATTTACTCTTCAAAAGAAGGGGGAAAAGAGTGTGGGAGGCTAGGGTGTAAAGGGGAGGATGCATATGTGGGAATATATTTTGAATTTGCTATTATAATTAAGGCCCTTTCATTAGACCCCTGGCTCTCAAACTTGAGGGGGCAGGAGAATCTCCTAGAAGGCTTGTTAAAACCCCATTGCTGGGTTGGGTTCTGACTTACCACCAGTGAGATTCATATCTAGCTTTTAGTACTATGGTGTTAAAGTGGGACCCAATAATTTGCATTTCTATCAAGTTTCCAGGTGATGCTGATGGTGCTGGTTCAGGGAACAAACTTTGAGAAGCACTACTTTAAAGCAAAGAAGGATAGATGATTTATAGTTTATGAGGCCCCTGAGCTCAGGAAGTTGTGGGTTTGATTCCAAGTTTGTTTTAAGGGATACTAAATAGGAAGTGTGTGTGTGTGTGTGTGTGTGTGTGTGTGTGTGCACGCGAGCACGCATATGTACACTCACATAGTACGTATCTCTATAATTCAGTGAATAAAGAGGGAATCATCCCCAAAAGTCTTGACTCAGAATGCTAAATATATCCTGGTTATTAGGCAGATGAAGTGTCTGATAATGAGCTATGATAGCTATGATCAGCTCAAAAGACTGATAATGGCTCAAAGTATTCCTCCTGTGCTCTTAAAACATACCTGAGTTATATCTTCTTAAGAGAAAAAAACCATGATTTTAAATCTTCCGTTCCACTTCAGGCCTCAGTGGCTGGAAGTTATTCAAAGAACCTAACTGAGATTACCTAATAAGTCTTAGTGACTATTTTAAACTCTTAACAGCTATTGCCTGGGAAATGAAGAAAGGTGAGCTTAGATTTCTGGTCTGCTTTGGAACTGTGAGTCTGGCTGATGTCCAAGGCCTGAATTGGAATACTCTAATAAGAACAATCAGTACAAAAGAGAGGACATCTGAGCCAGGGGCCAAGTAAAAAATAATTTTGAGATGGCAGTTGATGATATATTCATAGGCATTTAGAAAGTATCAATGTCAGTATCAAACAGAGAAAGCTCTTTTAAATGAGGGGTTTTGTTTCTGAACCTACTTAGAATCTTCAGAGTTGGTAATGCGCCTAGTTTTTAATGGCAGAGATCCTCAGCATATAGTGACAGCACTGGGAATTTTGTCAAACCAGATGTCCTCGTTGATATGGATGTGTGTATATGTGTGTGTGCGTGTGTGCATGTGTTGGGTGGGGTTGGGTAGCTGGGGGAGTCTGTCATTCTAAAAACCCCCCCCAGGTGAATCTGACCTGAGTCGTGGCTCCACCTCCAAAACTGCCAGCCTTGAACCTTGACACAGTTGGCTGTATTACCAAACTCACCAATGAAGAGGCGGGACCAGAGTTTTGAGCATAGAGTGACACAAAGTTAGGTGGGGTTCTGTTCAGGTCAAAGCAGGAGCTCAGTAAGTGCTGGAGGAATGTCGACTAAGCTTTTAATAAGACCAGGAAGTTTGAGGTGGAGGCGGAACCCTGCTTCAGGAAGTTGGACCAACTCCTAATGCCTTGTTCACATTATAGTACAGGGCCCAAGGATAAATGGTGAAGTCGGGCTGTCTGGGTTCAGATCTAGTTCTTCTACTTACTAATTGTGCAACATTGGGCAAGTTACTTCTCTATGCCTCTGTTCCTATAAATTATGGTAATATCTACTTCATAGGGTTTATTTGGGCATTTGAAGTGAGAGATTCCATGAAAAGCACTTAGAATGGTGACAAGGACATAGTAAATGTTTGGTATATGTTAGTCATCATAATCTAGTCTATTATTTCTCCATCCCTGACTCAATCTCATTTATGTTGCTTCTCCTTCCGTCTCCATCCCCTCTCCCCAGGCATTCCTGCTCCAGAAAGCTTCCACCCAAATAATTCCTTCCTGCCCTGTAGGCCTTACTCAAACCTGACTGGTCTCACGAAGGCCACTTGACTAGCAATGCATTCATCCCGTTCTGAATTTCTTGGGCAAGTAGAGACTGCAGCATCCAGCATCCCCTCTGGGCCGTTAGGCTGTCTGAGAAGTCCAGGATCAATTTTCTTGCACACTGTACAGTCTCATTGCTTTACAGTCTCACTCGGTTACTTTTTCCTGTCATCTTGACTATAAGCTAGTTAAGGGTCAGAGTCTGAGTCTTTATAGTTTGTAATCTCCATAAATCCTTGAACAATGTTTAGTGAGTGGTTGTTGTTTGCCAAAAAGAGGAGGTATGTATAGAGCTGGAGATGGTGGGCTCCAGTCTGGGTATGATCAAGAGGAGCTGTATAGCCTTCGGTAGGACATGCACCTTTCTCAGCCTCTGCTGACTACTCCTATGGCTCTTTTCAGGAGTAAATTATAGAATTCATAAGGTGCTCAGTATAGAACTTGGCACTTGGAAAATGCCCGGTAAGTGTTTATAAGCCCTTGAAGTGAGAGATGACACTGGAATTAATATGGATTTCTGATCCATATTGAAGTTTCCCTATTGGTATATCATTATGAAAACCTTATTTTTTTTCATTTATTTTTGAGTCTCCTTCATGTTGCCTATGACGATGAACCCCAGAGGAATCCTGGGTCCACCCAAAGACTTACTTTTTTCAATGTAACCTTCTCCATATTGTTGTTTGATATCTGGAGACAGTTGTTTCCAAATGGCAAGTTTCTTTTCAGTGACCTTTACTGGATCTGATAATCCTGTTTTGAATAATCCTGGTTCAATACATGAAACATGTACACCAAAAGCTTTCATGTCCCGTCTGTGAAAAGAATACATTGATGATGTTTAATCCAGGTTGGTTTGGAGAATATTTGCTATTTAGATGACTATTTTCTTATGAAATTTTTTCATGGAATCACAGAATTGGATAGGTTGGAAAGGCATGTCTTGTTCTATGCACACAGTTTGCAGGTGAGGAAGCTGAAGTTCATGGTGGTGAAGTGAGGGCAGTTTAGTGGCAGAATGGGAAAGACATCTGAGTAGGCCCATCCCCAGCCTAGTGCTCCCTGTAAAGCCAGACTCTCTCATGAAATGAACAAACATTCAGGTTAAGGACAGGTTTTTTCTCAGTACACAAAGTACCTTCTGGAGAAATGGACTGATGATTGGCCTAGGTGGACAGGTTTATCTCCATTCTAGGAATGTGAAGACATTGTGGCGCAAATGAGGATAGGCTGAGGGACACAGTGTGTCCATAGTGTGTCACAGTGTCACAATCCCTGATGTGGCTAATTTACTCCCTCTGCTGCTCGGTGAGCTCTTTCATCGTGTGGCCTCAGAAAACCAAAAGTCTACTCATTTACTGGACATTAAGGTTTTAGGGGAATCATGAACCTCCCCCCTCCGCCCCACCCCTGGGCCTTTAAAGAGCAAAATGAAGTACTGCCAACCATTATATGAATAATTATCTCCTAAATTTAATTTGTATTTCCACCAAGGATATGTAAGGAATGAATTATTCATCTTATACAAGTCTTTACCATAAAATTTTTAAAGAACTCTACCAATGAACTTAAAATGTGATTTATCCTAGGTTCTACTTTCTAGCAACATGCCTATTATTTAGTTGGCAGTGTACTTTACTAAAAATGCAAATTATCTTGATCTTGAAAGATTTTTTTAAAGAAATTTTTTTTTTACATTTTTTAGATTTATTTTTGAGAGACAGAGAGAGACAGAGCACAAGTGGGGGAAGAGCAGAGAGAGACGGAAACACAGAATCCAAAGCAGGCTCCAGGCTCTGAACTGTGAGCACAGAGCCTGATGTGGGGCTCGAACCCACAAACTGATCATGACCTGAGCTGAAGTCAGAGGCTTAACCAACTGAGCCACTCAGGCACCCTTATCTTGAAAGATTTTGAAAAGTATGCTGCTTGCATTAAGATTTCAAAGTTATTTTCCAACTTAATTGTACTTCACTCAACCTATCTTCTGATAAGTATTTGGGTAGAGTATTTCTGGAAAGAGTATCTTCTGGAAAGTATTTGGGAAGAGTTGTCTCCCTACCCACTCACGAAATACCATATAATCTAGGGACAAATGGCTTTAGTCACCCAACTAAGCTTACTGGTAAGTAAAACAAGTATGAAACCAGTATTTTTGCTGGGCAAATACAGCTTTAAAGAGCCTCAGCCTTCTCCCATTTGGACCACTACCCCTAAGCCCTCTTATGTATAGAAATTTTGGAGATGCCACTTGAGTGTGGCCTGCATGTACAGTACCATTTCCATGATTTAGAAAAATACCCATTCTTTATTGGGTAATTTCAGGCATGGTATAGCAGTATCGCAATCACATAAACCCTTTGCTTGAAATCTTTTTTTAAAGTGGTTATTGGTCCCCAAGAGGATGGGAATAAACCCTGTTGTTTTTTTGTCTTTCTCTTTCCTCCCATCATGTGGCCCTGTACCCAGCACACACATGGGAAGTATATGGCAGAATAGGGTAACATCTGGCCGGAGGGAAGTCCCAGGAAACAAGAAAGAACTGGGAAGATCACAGGGAGAGGAGCTGAGGAAAGTGACCTGATAACATTGTGCATTGTACACGTGCATGTATGGATCTGACTTAGAGAAGCAAACTCTGGGACAGCCATCTTCCACATCCCAGACTGGACTGCACGGTACATCTATGGGACAGATCTGACAGCACAGCAAGGTCTTTAAACATTGAACAAACATTGGAATCTTAAAGTACAGAATGATGGTTAGCAGTTGTGACCTGAATAAAACCTCATCAATTGTCTGCTAAAACAAAAATATTGATCTTCTCCATAGGACTTAAATAAGACCCATAGTCTCATGTCATTCCAGATAATCAGCATAAAAAGAACTGGAAACGTTCCAAAAGAACTGGAACATTCCAAATGTTCAGCATAAGAAGAAGTGGAAAACCTCAACTCACATGGGAAAAGACAATGACAGATGCTAATGCCAAAGGGACATGGATGTTGGAATTATCAGTCTTTAAAGCAGGTATTTTAAAAATGTTCCAAATACAAGACACTTCTCCAAAGAGGACATCCAGATGGCCAACAGACACATGAAACGATGCTCAGCATCCCTCCTCATCAGGGAAATACAAATCAAAACCACACTGAGATACCACCTCACGCCAGTCAGAGTGGCTAAAATGAGCAAATCAGAGAACTCTAGATGCTGGCGAGGATGTGGAGAAACGGGCACCCTCCTACACTGTTGGTGGGAATGTAAACTGGTACAGCCCCTCTGGAAAACAGTGTGGAGGTTCCTCAGGAAACTAACAATAGAACTCCCCTAGGACCCAGCAATAGCACTGCTAGGAATTTACCCAAGGGATACAGAAAGGCTGATACATAGGAGCACATGTACCCCAATGCGTCTCTCCACAATAGCCAAAACATGGAAAGAGCCTAAGTGTCCATCAATGGACGAATGGATCAAGAAGATGTGGTTTATCTATACCATGGAATACTACATGGCAATGAGAAACAATGAAATCTGGCCATGTGTAGCAACATGGATGGACCTTGAGGGTGTTATGCTGAGCGAAATAAGTCAGGCAGAGAAGGACAAATATCATATGTTTGCACGTATAGGAGGATTAGGAGGAACTTGTGGTGGGGGAAAGGGAGAGAGGCAAACCATGAGAGACTCTTGAATGCTGACAAAAACTGAGGACCGATGGATGTGGGGGGGAGGAGGGATGGGCATGGAGGAGGGCACAACTAATTTGACAATAAACTATTTGTAAAAAAAGAAAAATGTTCCAAATACAAAAGAAAATACTCTTGAAGTGAATGGGAAGTTAGAGCACTTCTCCCCAAAAAGAAAAGACAAAGAACCAAATGAAAATTTTACACTTGAAAGATACAATAACCAAAATAAAAGTATTTATTGGCAGAATGGTGATGGAGGAAAGTCAGTGGATTTGAAGGTAGATCATTAGAAATTATCCAATTTGAATATCAGAAAGAAAAGTGACTGAGAAAGTGAACCTTAGAGATCTGTGGGAAAAAATCAAAGGTCTAACATTTGTGCTATAGTCTCAGAAGGAGGAGAGTAAGAATGGATTGCAGGAAAAAATGTTTGAAGAAACAATAGCTGAAAACTCACCAAATTTGGCAAAAAATATAAACCTACAGATTCAGGAAGCCATGTGAACTTCAAATGTTATAAACCCAGAGAAATCCATGCCTGGGTGTGCTGAGCTGGGGCTTTGTTTGCTAAATAAGTTCTTTGTTTTGCACTCTGGGGTTGTCTGGCAGCACACGGGAAAATGATGTGGTCAGTGCTTTCTTGGGGGAGCAGAATCTCCACCTCTGATTAGTAAATTTCTGCTTTGAGTTTTATTTAGAAATGGAAGAATCAGAGAAAAACTATTTCTTGTCCTCGGGGTGGGATTGGGGAGATTATCATCTATTTAGCTGTAATGTCTGAAATGTATGATTCTATGGGTCTGGAACTTGCAACAAGAGAGTGAGAGGGAGAAAAATAGCTGTGTAGCTGAGTCATTATTTTGTGATAATTACAATTACTTTATCAGATAGTTTTCTACTGAAGGTTTATTGATTGTTTTTAATGTTTGTCTTTGAGAGAGACAGAGCATGAGTGGGGGAGGGGCAGAGAGAGATGGAGATAGAATCTGAAGTAGGCTTCAGGTTCTAAGCTGTCACCACAGAGCCCAATGTCGGGCTAACCCACCAACCATGAGATCATGACCTTAGCGGGTCAGTGCTAAACCTACTGAGCCACCCAAGCGCCCCTCTACTGAGAGTTTAAATAGGATGCTGTTGTGTCTGCAACTTACAGTTACACTAATGGAGAGATCTACCTAGCCTCCCTATATGATTTCCTAACTATTTAACAAACTGACCTGTTGAATGCCAATTCACCATCACTATCAGCATCATGCATTAATGCAAAAAGTTAAAAAAGACCTGTCTACACTTAGGTCCAAATCTCAGTTCTACCACTTACCAGTTGGGTGACCTTGGGCAAGTTACTTAATCTCTTTGTTTTGGTGGTATTATCTGTCGGGTGTTATTATTGGGAATAATTTAAGGCACTGATTAGAGTGTCTAATACATAATAACCATTCAATAAACATTACCAACTAATATTTCCTAGTATGTCGATGTTTGCTTTACCTTAAGCTGTCATTGAAGCCTTCTACTGCGTATTTGGATGGAGTATAGCCCCCTCCACCAAGTGCAAGCCGACCTCCAACACTGGAGACATTGATAACCCTTCCTCGAGCTTTTTTGACCAAGGGAAGTAAATTTAATGTCACATTGATGAGTCCAAACAAGTTCACTTCAATAGGTTCCCTGTAGTCCTCCACTGTCAGCCAGTCAGTGGGAGCCAGCACTCCGAGAATGCCGGCATTGTTGATCAGACCCCAGAGACCTAGAACAGAGAGAAAGAAAGGAGGTATGATAGAAGATGGCACTTATATGGGCATCCTTGATGGAAATACAGCCCCAGCTTTACACAATTGTGCCATTTCCTCCTTCTAGCCACATTCCTGCTTGGAAATGCTTTACAGTTTTGGGAGTAACTACTTTCAGAGAAGGTGGGAAGCTGAATTGAAATAGTTGAAGCTCTGTTACAATTTCATAGTAACTATTTCTGGTTCTGAATGTCAAATACTGATACTGTCTGGTTGATCCTTTTGCTTTTTCATCTCAGATGTAGAGTAAATTGGTCTATTTTTCCCACTTGCTAGATTGCAAAACAAGAGACTATTTATTTATAAACTGCTTTTTACAAAGAGCAGTATCAACTTAATTTACATCTATTTTTGGTAAAAAAAAATCTAGTTGTTGAATGTTTTATTTTATGATGGAAAACATTTAATATTGTTAAAGTTGTTTGGAATTCAACCATTAAAAATGGTCTGGAGCATTATCAAACCATTGTTTTTAAGGATCAGAGTCTCAACTACACAATGAAGATGTGACAGAGAACAATCATAAACATTTGTGTTTTTTTTCCTTTTTGGACCCTAACATCTTCATTAATGAGAATATTTCAAGCTTCAGTCAAGCCAGTAAAAATTCTCTAGTTTGGAATCCTGCCATCTTAGCAGAATGAGGTCTAATGGCTTACTACTCTATCATGATGATCTAAGACTGCTTTTTTTCAGATTCTCGGGCTATTTTCTACCTTTCCCATGGAAAAGTGTGTGAGTTCTGGAATGATTTTAGTTTTTAGATTTAATTTTGATCCTTTATTGTAGTAGCTCTCACACCAGACACTAAGAATGCCTGCTAAGTCCTACCCTGATGGTCTCTGCATCCCAACAGTGACTCTCCAGCAGCAGACACAGAATTGTAAACAAGTAAGGGAACAAAGTTTATCAGTGTTGATTCTGACTTCACAATCTATCTCAGATCTGTTTGCTTCTCTCTTTCTCCACTGTTGCATCCAAGGCCAGGTCACCCTCACCTCACATCTCAGCTTCTCCCATAGTCTCCCAGCTTGTCTCTGACTTAAAGTTCAGTTCTTTCCAGTATGTTCCCCACCAGTGGTCAGAGTGTTCCTTTTAAATTTAAATCAAACTTTCTCATATCCTTGCTGAAGACCTGTCTTCAGGTGCTTGTTACTCTTGGAGATCCAGATTCTATTGGAAGGTACTTCCCTTCACTGAATGTTATATTTTTTCATCTGTAAAATAAGTAAATAGGTCCAAATAATCTCCAAGGATGTTTACTTCCAAGATTTTAGAATTCCACTCTGACTTTTGAGTTCTGGAATGATTTTATAGTGAGAAGTGTGTCTCAGGTAACCAGATGGCAATTTGGGGACTGCTCTCATGATCTCCTATAGCTTTTAGCCCCAAGTTCCTTTGCTGTGTATGTGGCTAAACTAGAAATTCATGAGAAAAGAGCAGGAAAAGTCAATACCTCCAATTCACTTCTAAATTTGCCCATAGGGATTTATGGCTGAGGATTATGTGGGCTGTGTCTTTCAAGTAAACAGAGAGCTTGCAATTTGGAACTACTGAGGGCTCTATTCTAAGATTTTTCCAATACTCTCCAGTACCATACTGGTATTAGGAAACATTTTCTCGAAAGGCCATTTAAGACCCAAACACATTTTATTTAGCTGTAGCTACTTTACAACACTCTCCATTTTTCTCACCCCCATATCACTCACCTTTTTCCCCAACTTGGTTTTTCACCCACTGGGCAGTCCTCTTGACATTCTCTGGGTCAGTTACATCCAGAAGCACAGTGTGAAGCCTTTCTGATGTTTCTGCCTTTAAAGCCGTTGATTTTGATTCAGTCAGACAAGCAGCGATTACATGAAATCCTTTTTTATCAAAAGTTCTGGCTGCCAAATTTCCAAAACCCGTGTCACATCCGGTAATGAAAATGTACTTATCAGTGATGTTTGCAATCTTTAGTTGTCTTTTATTATTCCATAGAAAACCACAAAAGACTAGGAGGGCTAATACCCAAATGAACATGTTCTTTTCTGTATGTGATAGGAACTCTGCTTTCTTGTACAATAAAAGAAGATGGTGACCTGAGTTCAAAATTAGAAAGAAAATTCAAATTAGAACCATCAAGGGATTAGAACCCAATATTGGTAAACTTCAGGTATTTTAATGCATTTGAGTAGATAAATAGTTTTTAAAAAACATAACTGTTATTTGTATGGAAAGATGGCCATTTAAGTGCTAAACCACTGCTCTAAAGTAATGCAAAAAGCAACAAAGCCATAGTCAGAGAAAGTAAACAGGAGAGAGGCAGAGAGAGACAGAAAGAGAGAGGTGCCACAGCAAAGCTGACATGGGTCATTGAGTTCGACATGATAATAATCTCATGTGTGAATTCATCTATCTGAAACATGGACTGTCATTGTAAAATCTTATCTCTTGCTACTTCATGAAATTCAATCTATTAGAAAATATTCAATTTCAATTGATTGATCAGATTCTTAATTATTCTTAGACTGTCAGGAAAAGGAGAGTATTTTGGTGTTGCCATTATGCAAATGTTTCCAAGTTGGTTTCTGGTTTCTTATTTTCAGTAGCTTATTGTCATCCTTCAACCCAACTCTAAAACTATCACAACACCATGCAGAGAGTATGCAATGTGCAGCTGCCAAGGAGTTCACAGAGAGAGGGTGGGATGAGTGGGAAGGCAAGTGAAGGATGATGCCCAAAGGCACGGTGTCCCAAACAGAATCAAGAAGTCTCAGATTCTGTTCTCTCTGGCTTTCTGTGAGAATGATTCACACGTACATAGGACAAAGGCAAGGAAGTTCTTTCCTGAAAACCATAAAGTATTGACTGTAAGTAGTGCTGAATGACCTGAACAATTAGTTTGTCAGGGCTAGATGGCCTAGGGCTTAAAATCAAAAAGGTGGAGGGCTTCCTTTCCTCTCTACTCAGAAGACTGCATTTTTCCTTAAAATGTATTACCTTTTTTTACTTTTTCTAAATTAAGAAAATTATTATGTCATGTACACTTACTACATCAATTCAGAAATATCACATTTCTTTTTGGATTAAAACTAATGGTAAAAAAAAGAATATTATATTAATTTTATAAACTTGACCATTTAAATGCATATGCTCTCTTAAAAGTTACACTAATTATTGGGGCACTTGGGTAGCTCCGTCAGTTAGGCATTTGACTCTTGATTTCGGCTCAGGTCATGATCTCATGGTTTGGGCCCTGTGCTGACAACAAAGAGCCTGCTTGGGATTCTCTCTCTCCCTCTCTCGGCCCCTTCCCTGCCTGCAAGTACTCTTTCTTTCAAAATAAATAAATTAACATTTTTAAAAGTTACACTAATTATACAGTGCTTGGCTGCAAAATTACAGTTGTGAATGAATCAAGCCATTGCCTCATAGATGCTTCTGGAATCATGACTGTTTATGGACACTGTTCAAAGTATTTGTGAGGCCAAGCAATTTTATAAACTTTGGCCTTTCTCTTTTTCTAAACATCTATTTATTTATTTTGAGAGAATGAGAGAGAGAGTGAGCAGGGGAGGGGCAGAGAAAAATGGAGAATCTCATGCAGGCTCCATGCTGACAGCATAGAGCCCAAACTGTGAGATCGTGACCTGACCCAAAATCAGTAGTTGGATGTTCAACCAACTGAGCTGCCCAGGCACTCCTGGACTGACTTTCTTTCTTTCTTTCTTTTTTTCAATTATTTCCTGGTTTTTCATTTGAACCATTTAAAAAAAAGTATTCATTTTTTTTCCTGCTTGTCAAAGTAACTTACACTCATGGTAAAAAAGAATTTGGCAGATACAGAAAAAATTAAAGAAGGAAGTAATGATTATCACATTTGACTCCTAATGTTTTGGTATGTTTTCTTATATATTTTTTCCCTGTATATATAAATATTTCTCTCCATAATAAAGAACATAAACATACACACAGAATTATATACACACACACTCATGTGCACACATACCCACAAGTTTTGTCTGCTGCTTTACAAGGAACAGATTATTTTCAGATAAAAAATAACTCAGTCTAATATATCTTCATCACTTCTCAAGGAAATTTTGGGCTATGCTTTTATCTTTTTTCCTGGAAAAAGATCTATAGCTAAAGAAAGAAAAGAGAACTATCAATTGGTAAAAATATGTCAGAGGTAAACATTAAAATATGGTAGGTTTGAGCAAACTTGTTGATTCCTTTTGAAACAGCTGTGCCTATTTCTAAAGCAGTCAAGTTTTTAGACTATCATGGCTTAATAATATGGCATAGTTTCACAAATCTTTCCTGTGTCAGAGTTATTGAGTTGTGGCAAATCCATGTCCCTGTAGTAGAATTTTCTCTTCTCAAATATATAAATACATTAAAAATATTTAATTTTGAGGTGAAGTGTTAATGTAATCATCTTTTACAAAATCTCATGTTTAGATATTTTAAGGAAATTTTATATTTATAAATTCAATTAGTATAGTGTTTCATTCAAGTCTGGCCTCAATAAATTGAATAATTGAATAACTAAATGTTGAATATGTTTTCTGAATGGATTCTGTAGCCTTCACTGCAATCCAAACCTCATGGAATTATTTGAAGAAGGCAAATGCTCATGGAGTTTAAGGTGTATTAGATCAGAGAGAGGAAACTTTCTATGTTGTCAAGTTTTTCTAGGGGCAAGCATAAGGAGAGTAATAGTAAAAGAATGGTTTACTATTCTACACTATACTTTTACATATAGATCTCATTTGGTTCTCTCAGCAGCTTTTTGAGTTAGAGGGGGCACATTATTTGCATCATTTTGTAGAAGAATTAATATGCTAACTAATAAATGTAAAAGGAATGATGGAATTAGAAAATCATCATTAGGCAACTGTCATATAACAATTATATCAGGGAAGAATGATCAATGGATGCTAAAACTAGTAGGTGAAATTCTAACAAGAAACAATAATTATAGAATCTCAAAAAATCTCTCCATAAGATAGGTACTAATTAAAAAGAGGTTAATAATAATTTCACAGTAGAGAAATCTGACAGACACTACCTTACCCAAGTGATAAAAATGAATACCGCTAGTTATGGGATAAACCAACATCATGTGCCTCCTGGTATGGTGCATAAATGGGTCCTAATCCTGCATGGAGCTACATCTTCCAATTATAGACAATATATGGCATATACTCTTTAAAAATGTCAAAGTCATGAAGGAAAAGAAAGATTGAAGACTACTCCAAGTTAATGGAGACTGAAAAGAATGACAGCCCAGTGCAACATGTGATACTGGACCAGAAAACTATTTTTTTCTTTTGCCAGAAAGGATGTTATTTGGTCAACTAGAGAAATTTGAGTGAGATTTGTTGATCTGATAAATAATATTGCATTCTCAATAAATATTAATTTCTCAATTTTTATAATTTGCTAGAAAGTGTCTTGCTTTTTAGGAAATACACGCTGAAGTATTTACAGACTCTGTAGCACCATGTCTTCAACTCAGTTAAGACCATGTCTTTAACTCTCAGTTAAGAAAACAATAAGAATATTTATATAGATAAATAAACATATTAAGGAAGCAACCTGAGTGTCTATTGACAGATGAATGGATAAAGAAGATGTGGTTGCTGGGACAGAGGTTCCGGTGGTGGGGGTGGTTGTGGGGGGATGGGCAAAATAGGTGAAGGGGATTAACAGGTACAAGCTTCAGTTATATAAAAAATAAATCCTAAGGATAAAAAGCAAGGTATAGGAAATATAGTCCACAATAATGTAATAACTTGTATGGTGATAGGTGGTATGCATTTTGTAAAGTATATAAAGGTCTAGTCACTATATTATACACCTGAAGCTGTTATAATATGGTATATCAACTGTACTTCAATTAACAAAACCCCCACATACATATGGTTATAAAGTGAGAAATAATAAAAAAATAAATAAAAAAAAATAAAGTGAGAAATAAAATGCAAATGTGGTAAAATCTTAGTATTTGGGGATTCTGGATTGTATTATTCTTTCAATTTTTCCACAGATTTGAAAAAAAGTAGGAATTTGGCAAGGGAAAATAAAACTTTGTTTCTGAGAAAAGGCTTCATTAGACTCAAAGGGGTTTCATGCACAAAATAGGTAAGAACTCCAGCACTTTAGAATCTAGTGACCTTGGACTTCTGTTGGTAAGTTCACCTTCACAACTAGTGGAGACAAACAAAAACTCAAACCAAACCAGTAAGATTCCTTCCTCCCTCCTCATCCTCTCCATTTCTCCCTTACTTCCTCCTTCCCTAGCCAAACACATTTTTCCTTGGTGACTAGCCACAGAGAAGAGCTTTTTTAGTTGTTAAGGATGGGCTCACATTAAAATTTTTTTTTCTTAATTCTTTTTATTTTGAGAGAGAGAGAGACAGAGCATGAGTGGGGGTGGGGGGACCAGAAAGAGAGGGAGACACAGAATCTGAAGCAGGATCCAGGCTCTGAGCTGTTAGCATAGAGCCCGATACAAGGCTTGAACTCATGAACCACGAGATCATGACCTGAGCCAAAATCAGGTGTTTAACCAACTGAGCCACCAAGGCACCTCAAGGATGGGCTCACATTTTAAAATGTGTTGTCTTCATTAGGTACCTCTCTAGGCTGAGGATCATTTCAGATGCTGGCGCCCCGGTCTGCACCCTGAATCCAGGAGGCTACCAACTGTAACCTAGAGTTTTATAAAGCTGTCCTTACACTAAATATTACTGTCTAGAAAATGCTGGTCCTTTTTTAATTTTTAAGGTTCACATTCTTCTAGGTCATCGACCAAGTCAGCCACAAACCAACACATACACACCTTTGACCTCTAATAGTATTTCAGCCAAGATCCCATGTGTTGTCATGTTCCTGAGCAGCAGCCCTCAGTCAGAGTCATTGGGAACATGATCTGTACACAGAAGCTGATTGATGGCTGCTTGGTTCATTGACCACCAAGAAGTAAATGAATAACTGTGATTACTATGGCTGCCTCAACAATATTCTGCCAGCCTGGTCACCTCCACGTGGCTCCTTGGTCCCGAAAATTCAGAGACTTGAGGCACTGACT